GCCCGTTGGGGATTGTGCAGGAGTCAGCTGATCGATGTTTCTCTCTCATCGATGTTTCTGGCTCTCTATCTCTCTCCTTTCCTCTCTGTAAAAACTCAATAAAATATATTAAAAAAAAAAAAGAAATTATCCACATTTGAAAAAACAACTGATCTCAAGGATCAGCAAACTTTCCTGTTAGGAGCAGGGTAAACATTTTAAGCTTTGTAGGCAATACAATCAACTACTAAATTCTGCTATTGCAGGCAAAAGACACATGTAAACAAGACAATATGTAAACGAATATGCATAACTATCTTCCAATAAGGCTTTATTGACAAAAACAGGTGGTTGTTTGGCCCTCAGGATGTAGTTTGCTGACCCCTAGATCAATTACCTAAATTATTATAGATTCTAGATCAATTACCTAAATTATGAAGTCCTCAACACCACTGCTGCCAAGTGATTGTTCAGACTCTATCTGAATACGTAATCTAGTCCAGTCTTCTGTTTTGGGGTAGATACGACTCTAGACAGACCTCATTTACAGAATAAATAACTGAAATCCAGAAAGAATAAATGACTTTCTCAGAGAACCACACCAAAACAAAAAACTAGAAAAAAACTAGAGCTCCAATCTGCCTAAGTACAATGCTTTCTATGGAGGTGTGACCAGATAATGTTTATGGTATTATATATAGCCATTTAACAACCTGTGAGGAATCCAAATGTTCTAGTACTTTGCAGTTACTAAAACCTAGAAAGAAAAGTACTGGTTTCACCTCTTTGCCAACTGAGATACCCAGCCAGGGCTTATATGTAAGTTTTATCATTTGGAGAAATTTCTAAATGGTGGGTCTTGTTTTCCTCTAAAACTCCAAGCTACTTGACAAATTAAGCTAGAAAATAACACTCCTATAGTATACCTGGGAAAAAATACTTGTTTCAAACCAACCATGACCTTGGACAAGTCACTTTTGCTGGGTCTCAACTTCCACAAAAGGAAAATGAGAAGCTGGCAATAAATGATCTCTGGAGTCGCCTGCAGAGAATAAGTATGTACCTTAAAGTTATCAAAAATGAAAATAACAGCTTAAATGTACTGAGCCCGGCCGGCATGGCTCAGTATTTGAGCGTAGACCTATATGAACCAGGGTGTCACAGTTCGATTCCCAATCAGGACACATGCCTGCATTATGGGCTAGATCCCCAGCGTGAGGAACGCAGGAGGCAGCCGATGAAGGATTCACTATCACCAGTGATGTTTTTTGGTCTCTCTCCCTCTCTCTTCCTCTCTGAAATCAATAAGAATATATTTAAAATAGATAAATAAAATAAAATACACTGAATACTTTCTATGTCAGACACCTGTTCTAATTACTTTACATTAATCAACTCAATTTTCATATGGGGAAACTGAGGCAAAGAGGTGTGAAGTGATTGGTCAAAGATCACAAGATGAGTGAGTGCCAGAGCTGTGATTGAAATCCAAGTGAACTAACCTCGAAGTCCATGTTCTCAACAACTTACTACTAACATAATTTTACTCTACATGCCAAAACTTTATTTTCCCAATGACTGACAACCCAAACACTAAAACATGATTTGTCCCTCTAATAAATAAAGAGGATATTGACGAAAGGAAAGAAAGCATGGTAAACAAGACTACTTTTGGCCATCATTACTCAATATTCTGCACAAGGTAACCTCCCAGTAAATATACTGTATATGATGTTCCATTAATACCTAATTTGGTCCCTAATCCACAATATCACAAAAGATACCTATTGATCCAAACAGATACTATTTCTACTCGCATAGTCTGGCATTGTCTTCTGTAGAACATATCTCTTTATGTCAAGCTAAAAATAAATAAATAAGAGGGATTTGCACCTTCATTTAGAAGACAAAATATTATGAAGGGCGAACTACTTACAAGTGAGTTACCAGTAGTGTCATGGAGAAGTCCATGTTTCAAAGAGGAGTTGATAGGCACATGAAAACTTAAAAGTCCCATGGTGATAATCCAATATATGAAAATGTATAAAGCAATTTAGGCAGCAAAGGTATTTCTAGCTGGAAAGACCAGGAGAAGAAAACAAAGGCACAATTGTGTTGACCATAAAACATAACTGAAAGTAACATAAAAATCAATGCTATATTAGAAAATAAAGGGACGCCTAATCTGTGACCACTGGAACGAGGTTCAAAAAGAGTACTTTTTAGCAAGCAGATAAGTTTTTATTCCTGAAAAAGTCTGAAAGAAAATACTACTAATGAGAGTTGTGTTTTTTTCTGCATTTCAGTATTGTTATGATCTATCTTTATATTATCAGTAATACAGAAACATAAGTAGAAAAATATATGAGACCAACATATGAGACTAACCTAAATGGCTACACCGCTTTTTGTTCACACGGAAAAATTATCTTTAAAAGTATTATCTTAGACCACCATCCACCCCCATCTACCACTACCACCACCACCACTCCACCACACCACCACCAACAATAATAGTAATAAAATAAAATAAGTTAAAGAATTCAATTACAAAAAGAACAAGATTTGGAACTTTCACTTAAATGTATCTCTTTGTTATAAAAGACATTAAGAAAAAAACCTCATGATTCATCAATGCCTGCCTGTTTCCTAAACCCAGGAAATTCCTTTACACCCCCCTCCTGGCTCTAGCCAGCCAAAACTGTAGGTGTACTACTCTATTCATTCCTTTACCAGCAACATCTATGCTAACACTACATATTTACATTTAAAGCTGATTTGTGTTAGACTATTCCAAATTCTAAACTCACTTGCTCAGAGTTGAATTTACAAATAATTGATTTAACAGAATGCTGTCACACTCTCCATTCAAAATTCTGGTGGTGCAGACACTATGAAAAACAGTTCTCAAATAAAAATAAAAAATAAAAATACCATATGATCCAGTAATTCCACTTCTGGGTATAACCCAAAAGAATTTAAAGCAGGGACTGGAATAGGCACCATGTTCCTAGCAGCATTAATGATTCACAATAGCCAAAACATGGGAAATTAGCAGGTAAATGCATAAACAAAATGTGGTATATACATACAGTATAATATTATTCAGCCTTAAAAAAGAAATCCTGACATATGCTACAACATGGATGAACATTAGAGACATGCTAACTGAAATAAACCAGTCACAAAAGGACAAATACTACATGATTCCACTTATATGAGTTACCTCAAGTATTCACATTTATAGAGACAGAATAGTAACATGGTGGTTGCCAGGGGCTGAAGAGAAGAAAGAATGGGTATTGTTTAATGCGTACAGAGTTACAGTTTTGCAAGATAAAAACAGTCCTAGAAATGGATGGTGGTAATGGTTGCACAAAGTGAATTAATTTAATATCACTGAAAAGAACATTTAAAAATGGTTAAGACGGCAAATTTTATGTTATGTGCATTTCACCACAATTTAAATTTTGTTTTAGCCTGACCGGTTTGGCTCAGCGGATAGCGCGTCGGCCTGCAGATTGAAGGGTCCCGGGTTCGATTCCGGTCAAGGGCACATGCCTGGGCTTCGGGCTCGATCCCTGGTGGGGAGCGTGCAGGAGGCAGCCAATCAATGATTCTCTCTCATCATTGACGTTTCTATCTCTCTCTCCCTCTCCGTTCCTCTCTGAAATCAATAAAAATATATTTTAAAAAAAGTTTTGTTTTAATTGAGAGCTGTTTTTATTTGGGGGAATAATCTTTGAAAGGACAATTTAGAATATATATTTGCTTTGTAATGAGTTTGCTCATCTACAAAGTCCCAAACTAAGTCTCAGCTCTCATCTTCCATCCACTATTTACCTAGGTTATTTAGGTTGTTAAAGACAGTACAAAAATCCTCCTCAAAAGCTTTTCCATACTTAGACACTGAATTTATAAGAACTATTATCCAGCAAGAATCAAAATATAAAACTTATTTTTAAAATCTAATCACATTTAAAATTCATGTCCTTATCTATAAAGGCAAAACTGAGCTCTCAAAAAATTTTAATTTTCACAATCATATGAAGTAAATAGAATATAATTTTACTATGTTCACTTTTGAGCGGGAAACTGATCTGCCCAGTTACAGAAGAAATCAACATCCAAGTATCCACATTCCAAGTCCTGAACTGCAATCTTTAACACAAATTACTGTACCTGATTTCGGATAACTGGATAAATGCTAATTTTTAAAAGTTAATCCTATGAAAATCTTAAATAATAGTTAAAGTATAGAAAGAATAGTCAATTTTAAAACTAAGTCCACAAGAGCAGGTTTATCTGGAATCATCATTTGGAAGAGGAATACAAGGCTCCTAAACACACAAAAAAACCTAATGTGTGTACAATGTGTATAGTTTTCTAAGTAACTTTTTATTAAACTATCAATAATGTTTTCTTACCTATTTAATAATATGAAATTAGCTCTCACCATTTAGCAAACAATTGTTCACTGCAGATGCCTAAGCTTTATTCCATTTTGTAAATACGTAATTGTTCACAACACTGCCATTGGGTTGAAAAGAACAATTGATTAGAATATAGTATTAATGTGATAAAAATGCTTGTCTCAAATGCTTGTCAGAAAATCTTACTTTACCTCTAAAGTACAAGAATCCTAAATTTCCTATCCTTGGCCCATCAATATAAGGTTCACAATAAGCATAATAATTGCCACAGGTGAGGACAGAGCAACCAAACAAAACAAAAAAGAAATTAAAAAGATAAAAAAATAAAGAGAAAGCAAGTATTTACAAGTTATTAGAGGAAGTAAAAAGTTTGGTGAAATCAAAACAAAGTTATAATTACCTGAAAGCTTTTAGTAAGGTAAACTACACTTTGTGTTGCTGTCTAAAGCCATTCCTACCGGAATAAAATAATTTTATAATAGGATAAAAATGCCCCTAGATCCCTAACCGGTTTGGCTCAGTGAATAGAGCGTGGGCCTGTGGACTGAAGGGTCCCAGGTTCAATTCCAGTCAAGGGCATGTACCTTGGTTGTGGGCACATCCCCAGTGGGGGGTGTGCAGGAGGCAGCTGATGGATGTTTCTCTCTCATCGATGTTTCTCTCTATCCCTCTCCCTTCCTCTCTGTAAAAAACCAATAAAATATATATTTTAAAAAATGCCCCTAGAAAAATACAGAGTTATTTTTCAAACAACCACATTCCACATTAGATAAATGACTAAATTGGAGAATTTTAAAAAGGTGAAAAGATTTACCCAGGCAAAAAAAAAACCTCAGGCCAATCCCGAGCCTACAAAACACCAACATCTTGTGGTTAACTTTTAATTCCAAAACACTTATTTCTGCGTTTGGAAGATACAGTATAATCAAATGCAGATAGATGCATATTTCTAATATAATTAGATACCAGTGGGTAATCAAAAGAGCAAACTCTAGAGAGAGAGAGAGAGAGAGAGAGAGAGAGAGAGAGAGAAAGCAACTTAGAAAAAAAAATCAAAGAGGGAAAAGAAAAGCCCTACAAAATCTCAGTAAGGAAAAATATACCCTGCATTGCCAATGTTAGGCCATGTGCAATGGTGACAGTGTTGAAGAAAGAGGGGAAAGCATGCCTGTACATAACAACAGCTTCTAAATTAATGCCAAAATGAATGGTTAAAAAGATCTCACTACGGTATTTTTGCCAAACATCAAAAGGCAAAGATGGTGGTATTGGTTCCACAAGTCTTTCATAATGCATACAGCACTACTTTCAAAAGGCCTCCCTAAGATATACCAGTGTCACTACATTTGAGCTCAGGAGGGGGATAACCCTTGCATATTCTTTATTTTATCTTCTAACAACACTTTGTTGTTGAAAGTATTACATATGTCCCCCTTTGCCCCCGTCACTGATCCCCACTCAGGTCCCCCACCCCGCATATCCTTTAAATTATTCCTGGAGAAAGGACACCAACCAAGCAATTCAAATCTGAAGGAAAGGGGAATCTGCAAATAGGAACTGGTAATTTCAGTTTGTGCATTCACTGCATAGACACTGTGGTAAACAGAGTCTACTTGCCTCCTCCTTGTCTTCCTACCCTCCAAAGATTCCAATAAGGCATCAAGGTCTAAAATGTTTGCTGCTTCCCCGACCGGGATGCCCCAATACCCTCACCACCTGCTCCTCGCCACTTTTTTACTCTCTCCTAAATACAACACACTCACAGCACCGCACGGTCCACACCCACACTCCATACAACATGCTCCTCGTGGAACAACCCAAACTCCTGGCCCCCAACACCCCACACTTAAATCCCCACGCTTCATGCTCCCCAGTTCTACACATCAATACAGGAAACACGGCACAGCCCACATACATAACCCAACTACCCTAACACCCTTTCACCCTGCAAATCCCACTCAAGCCAGCTGTCCATGAACCATCTCACACACGGCCAACAGATCATCTGAATGACACGTTCCCTCATGGCTCCCCACACTCACACACCACGTCCCACAGAAAGCCCCAAACCACTGCAATGCCCACACACACACACACACACACACACACACACACACACACGAGGAAGAGGCCACCCGCTGACACCGGGAACCCACGAGGTAGGAGGTGGCAGGGGGACAAGGGCCAGACGCTTCACCTGAAAATCCGCCAGGATCATC